AGTGTCATTCTTCACATGCAGAGTTTTCTTGAGAATGAAACTGCTGTGAGTGTCACATTTTTTTAAAGTTACTGCTAGATATACTAACCAGGTATCAGCCTGTTGTGTCAGTTACATATATAGTCATAACCATTACAATTTCCTCAAATGTGATTGGTGCATAAGTTGCTTCATTTTTCACTAATCATTCCGAACAGTTGTAGTCAGACAGTGTAATCGGACAGTTGGTTGTAATTGGACAGTTGAAGCAGCCAATCATACTAGGACCAGTCAGCTAACTCCACCAATCACAGAATTGATCACAATAACCATAGCAACAACCAGTTATCTAAAAAAAAAGCAAGGCAATTTCCAAAATGGAGGAATTTTTAACAAAAGACATGGTCTCCACGGGAAGTGTTTGTTCTAGGTGTATTTGTTTTTTCGGAAATTGAAATGGTTATGATTAATTGGTAACAGGATTTCTTATTGTCCAATTCTGTCTGTAATCATAATCGTGATAAACAAATCAGACCCCTGCTTTGCAGTCGTCCAATTTTGTGATTGAACTCAGGCATCAAAGTTTTTTTTCTAAACAGTTTAACCTATGCTTCAGGGTAAATTGCAGAGTTGACAAGTTAAGTTAAATCTGAAGTGCATAAATATATTGTTAAGAGATTTTACACGCACATCTTAGTCACTTCTGGGATTGAGCAGGCTATTGAGTGGGTAGGCCTCCATAGAGGAAGTATGTAAAATCTTTTTATTGAAAATTGACTCAGACACATACATTCTTTATGGAAGCTACAAAAAGCTAACTTTATGCTATTTCATAAGTTAAAAGGGTTTTGTGTCTCTTGTTTGTTTTTTGGGGGTCGTGGATAGGTTAGTCTGACTTCGATTAAAGGTGCATCCACAAGTACACTGTAGTTAATTCCTATGTGGTAGTTAATGAAATAAAAATTCCTATGTAGTGCTTAATTAAGGGTGAATCCACAAGTACACAGTAGTTATTTTCTATTTCTTCATATATCATTCATAAAGTTCAAAATATGGAGTGACTTGCTATGAACAGAAATCAAATCCATACGTAACACTAGCTAGAAAAATATTTCTGAACAGTTGTTGATACTGACCCTGCTGTTTACTACTCTAGGGGCCATACGCAAGTTTACCTAAAAGAGGATCTCAAGAATGTTATCACACCATCCCAGACAACAATCAAATTGTTATTGCATTCTTAGCTTCATTAGCCTATATTTTCATGTTAAATAAAACCATTTAATAAAGAAGTTTTGTTTGCAGTCATCCAGTTTTGTATTTAGTCTAATTAAACTAGGGATTTCATCAGTCCATCAACAAATTGGTGTTTAAAAATATCAACACTATTTTGAGCTACTTTAGAGGCCATGTTGGATACCATGTCTGTATATTCTAAGATGTGAAAGGAAGAAGCTTATCCTTATTTCTAATTCCATCAACAAGGTGGTAGATTCCCTTTTGATGAATTGTAGAGATTAATTTAGGGTTAAAGTCTTACAAGCCAGGTACCTCTCACTTCCATCACCTCCAATAGTTCCCTTCTCAATGCAGTGAATGGGAATGTTGCCTTTCCCCTTGGGATGAGATTGTGGTCTATCACGGCTGTTACCTCAGGCATTTTGTTAGATAATTTTCCCTAAATGTTCACCGATATCAGTTTATACTCCTTGGTGGAAAGAGAATTTGTGAGATTGAAGTGTCTTGCCGTACAATACAATACAGTCACCCAAGCAAAGCTGACGAAGGCAGACAACTTGATTTGGAATCCAGCACACTACTTACTAGGCCACTGCGCGTTCTATTGTGTACTTGGTCTTATCCAACACCAATTTCATGAAGAACAATGTTTATGCCTTGGAAAAGTTACTGCAGAATGATGAATTGATAGGAGAACATATCAAGAGCAAACGTTAAAAAAAACCAAAAACCAAAAACCGTGAATCACTTCATTAATCTTATTTATTTGAGAGGAAAATAAAAAGCGATAATTCATGATGATTCATACACCTTTTCTCAGGAAAAAATTAATTTGTGCACCTCCAATAAAACTATATTAAGCTAAGCAAGCTCATTAAAAAAATAAAAAGCATTCTTAGATTTCGAATTTTGTGGGCAAAGTAAGGCTTTCTATCGAAGAATTACCTTTTCAATTCAATTTTAATTCAATGTTCGAAAATTATCATTCTGCCCTTGGTATTCTGAGACAAAATAACAGAGCATGCTATTTGCAATTTTTTAAGCACAAAGCTCATTCAACATTTTCCATCTGTATGGTCTATTTTCTGAGACTGACTTCAACTTTGATGGAAATAATTGAAAACTGAGCTTAAATTGCCGACAAAAATTTGGATAGGGTAAAATGTGGACTGGACCATTGGACCGGCTATGTTTTGGACCATTTTTGGACCAATTTATGGACCATTTTATTAGGGGAAGCCAAACCATCAGGGATGCAGTCTATCATTACAGTACTTAGGGA